TGGAGGTTATTGCAAAGAAGTGGCAGTGTGAGTCACAGAAGCCCAAAATGACAACAGCTCATCAAATGAAAGGAAACTTTATACCGAATACTGAGTTATGCTGGACTAACCTGATTCCTGTAATATTGAAATAAAGTTATATTGTAGTAAACTTTCCTAAATTAGAGGCATGCCATCAGACTGCTGCCTTCATATGGATGCAGCAGTGTCAAGAAGTAAGATTTTATACAGTGTAAATACTGCAGAGTTCACTTCACATTCATGATCATTTGTAGATCACGCGGATTGCTTGAATGGTGATCACTCAAGCACAAAGATTTTAACTCTTTGCTGCCTTTGAAGTGAACAATCTGCCATATAAATTCAGCGTTATGTCTTCTCCACAGTTTGCCCTTGTTCATAGGTCGCTCATGTTGTGTGACAAAGCCTCTCAGACATTATCCTAAGAGCTCTGCCCTTGTTAGCCCCTCATATCCCATCTCTTCACCACATCAGGTTAATCTTTGTGCTGCTCGCTCCTTCTTCAGGATAACAACATTCATTATATTTGACTTTATTATCGTCCTTTTTTAGGATAACACATACCCTGAGATTCTTCGCTCAAACTTGGGATCTGTAGTGCTTCAGCTTAAAAAGCTGGGTATTGATGACCTCGTCCACTTTGACTTTATGGATCCACCTGGTAAGTCAGCCTGCAGTCTTATTGTGAACTGTAAATAGTCATTTTATGCTAGTTAGCCATGGCTAGCTGACCTCACTGTCTCTCCTCCATGCAGCTCCTGAGACGTTGATGAGGGCCCTTGAGCTGCTTAACTACCTGGCAGCTCTCAACGATGACGGTGACCTGACGGAGCTGGGCTCCATGATGGCAGAATTTCCTCTGGACCCCCAACTGGCAAAGATGGTCATTGCGAGCTGCGAGTTTAACTGCTCCAACGAGATCCTTTCCATTACTGCCATGCTGTCAGGTAATGCCCAGGACTGGGCTGACATCTTACTTGCCTGTTGTAGGCCAAGTCCCTTTGGGTTAACACTTCTGATTACAGGTAGTGTTAAAATAATCCCAATGTACGTCCAGTTTGTGCACATTTTCTACTCCTCTAAACCAGCCATTCCCAAAGTCAAGAGTGCTGCGACCCATTTAAAACACAGAATATCCCATGGGGCCCACCAAGTCTTATCTATGTCTTGCATAATAAATTTACTGAATAATGATGAGATGTATAGAAAGCTTATTAAAGAGGTGCTATTATCCTTTTCCTTATTCTGTCTCATGTATAAAATGTACTGTCAAACTGAGGGATGCTCATATTGAATAGGCTGAAGTTTTAAAAGCAGAGATCCACATTTGTGTGAACAAACCTTGTGAGACACAATCTTGAACTTCAGACTGCTCTAAATGATTTCCTCTTGATTTCTGAGGTTTTTCCCCTACTCCTGGCTTTGTTTGATTTCAATGAGAGCAGATAATGTTAATATGATTATCTAAGCCACGTAGCTCTGGCTGTGAGGACATCAGTCCCCATCAGAATTGAGGGGTAACGAATGAATAATAAACTGACTCATGCAAAGCTGCTCTTGTAGAGACAAAAAAAAGAGATCTGGGGGTACACTTATGCCCCTTTTAAGATTTAACAACTAAGCGCTGACTTAATGTTTACGAAGTACTCAGAAAACAAGTGCAGATCGTTTGTAGTGCCTTGTCCAGGATTATGACAACTGAACAGGCTGATATTTCAGATGCTTGTCAATACATATATGACACATTTCATGCCAGTATTAGTCACAACTGATGTTATTTATATTGAATCATATATTCATCAGGGTGGTTTGTTGGAGAGTTTATTTTTGATTTTAGTACAAATAAGGAAATAATGAATCGGTTGGAAAAAGACAAAATACTCATATTTCTGTTTTGTTTTTTTGCCACAGGCATGTCTATACGACTTCATATATTAAGTCTTAACTTTAAATCTCAATTTTTTGTTTGGGTTTTTTTTTTTCTTGCATTTTTGTTAATAGAAAGCGAGTTTTTCATGAGTGCTTCATCATTAAAGAAAGTGGATAGGGCAGGCACCACTTGGACGTTTTTCATATTTATTGAATTTTCTTTTTTGAAGTAACACTTTTAAAATTAATGTTGCACTGTAGAGTAACATGTAGCTCAGATGTGTTTCAGTCTTCCACTTAGTAAAAGGCCTAACACTCATGTAGCTAAAGTAAGATCTGTGAGTTTTGGAAAGGTTCAACTTTGTTGGTGTCCCTAACACTCTGCAGCTGTGTGAAAACTCTTGTTTTACAGATGTGGTTAAATGACCCCTCTCTACGAGCTAGTAACCATTACAGTTGGGAATGACCATGAGAACAGACTGCAGCTCCCTCTTATAGAGCTTGTGGTCCTGCCCTGTCCCAAGCAGTGTCGAGTGCCCTAGCATCATAGGCTTTGCTGCATTTTTCTGTGAATGTTTGACTCATCCCTATGGGCGGCTTTGTTGGGGCCCATACCAACCTTGTTTAGTCCCACAGTGTTTTGTCCGTCCTACGGAGGCTAAGAAGGCAGCAGACGAGTCCAAGATGAGGTTTGCTCACATTGACGGAGACCACTTGACGCTGCTCAACGTCTATCATGCCTTCAAACAAAGTGAGCATCAGTCCACGTTTTTTTTTGGATTTCTGCATGATGAAGTTAAACCTGCATTAATTTGTTTTTTGTTTTTTTTAATACACACACTTTATGGTCAGCAGAATAAGATGAAAGTGCAACATATGACCTTTTAAAGCTAAAGAAAACGTGCTGAAGAAAGATGTTTAAAATGGAGCAGTAGAATGGTTGAATGTTATATGATATGTGAGCATTCGTACAGAAAAATACAGTAGATGAATAGAATGAGATTTGTTAAAACAGTCACAGGTGGCTTCTTGATAACCAACCTGAGCAGAGATTTCAAAGACAGCACTGACTCTGCTGACCAGATTTCCTCAGGCAGTTTATTCCAATGCTTCAGGGATGAACCTCTCTGTTACATACAGGCTAGTAAGCAACAGAGAGGTTTGAGGTGTTGTGTGACAAGACTCAAATGTATAACCTATTGAGAGCCACTGAGGTGACAGGAATATGCGTTTTTGTGTCCTGATGCATCATTTCGGTTTAAAATGACTAATTCAGTACATGATTTGTAGACATTTATGCTTGAAAACATGTTTCATCTGACATATTTTAAAGATAAAGAGTCATGATCTATTTTTTATTAACAACTTTTTTGGGGATTAGTTCAATTTTGATGATCTAGTTAGCACCTTAGACTTGAATGTCTCTCATGCCTTTTTCCAGACCATGAGTCTAACCAGTGGTGCTATGACAACTTTGTCAACTACCGCTCGCTGATGTCTGCCGACAATGTGCGGCAGCAGCTGTCCAGGATCATGGACCGCTTCAACTTGCCTCGTCGGAGCACGGAGTTCACAAGCAGAGATTACTACATCAACATCCGACGGGCGCTCTGCACCGGCTTCTTCATGCAGGTGAGCAGACATAATAGATTTGGAGGAGGAGGAGGAAGAAGGAGCTTTGGGATGCTTTGAGGACGGTCTGTTGTTCAGTTTGGAATCAAACGCACACGAGTTTTGTTAAAACCTTTGCAGCCATAAACCGAGACACAGTACAGCAAAAAAAGTGTGTATTAGGAAAGCTGCTTTTGATTTTGAATGGATCTCAATTATTCTGTTACCCCAATTTTCTAATGATTGATTTATCTTTTCAGCCCAGGTAAAACGGATAATGTGGTCAGTGTTCCTCTCTGGCAGTAAACTGAAGTCTGCTATCAGCCTGTTAGTGGGCTTAGTGTTGAAAAGGATTAACTGAAAAGGATTTTATTGTTATCCTTTTTAAATTATTCTTTTGAACCTCCCTGCAGGTGGCTCATTTGGAGCGCACAGGCCATTACCTCACAGTGAAAGACAACCAAGTGGTCCAGCTGCACCCATCTACAGTCCTGGACCACAAACCAGAGTGGGTGCTCTACAATGAGTTTGTCCTCACCACCAAGAACTACATCCGCACATGCACAGACATCAAGCCAGAGTGGTACGTGTACAGACAATAAGATCTCACTAAAAGCTGTTAATTTAACATGTGTTGCGTTAGCTGAATGACGGGGTCATCCATGTTCTCCTGTCTCTGTTACAGGCTGGTGAAGATTGCACCTCAGTACTACGAAATGAGTAACTTCCCACAATGTGAAGCTAAGCGACAGCTGGAGCGAATCATTGCCAAACTAGAGAGCAAAGAGTATTCCCAGTACTGAACAACAGCCAACAAGTGTCCTGGAAAAACAACTGCTTACTTTAGTTTTAGATCTTTCTCTCATTGTATCTTAATGTTTCAAATTTCACTTTTTGATTATTTTTTAAAAATATTTTCTTTGCCCCCCCCCCCCATCAATGTTAATTCTGTAACTACGTGTACCGTCAGATAAAATGTCAACAACAGTGGTTAGACCCGGTCGTAATTACTGAAATGGAATAACAAATGTGTTATTTAGATGTGGTTGAATTTTGTTTAGGAAACTGCTGAGTCATAAACGTTTGTGCTTGCTTTGTTTCTTTAAAACAATGAGCTTTGACTTCATTTCTCTGTATAAATTAATTAGTAAAGTCAGTTATCCGAAAGACAGTTTGATCTGTGGTTTTTATGCTTTTGGTTTACTAAATATGGAAATGAATCTTGGGTAATGTGAATCAGTACTTTAACACCTGCTGTTTAAAAAAGAATGATCTACTTCAGTGCAGCATTATGTTTATGCATAACATGACTTTAGAAATTCTGGGAAAATCCAATAAACGGTTTGCTGGACTTCGACTCACCCACAATATATTTTTTAGGAACAAAAGGAAGGTAAAATGTAACAGATTTAATGAAACTCAGTTTATTGGAAATATAACACTAACAATAATTTCTCACCTGGAAATGGTTCTCAAAGTGGACATTAGTAGGACTAAAACAGAAAAATGTAAAAGTTGTGCGCATTTTAATGAAACTGCTGCTTTATGCAATCATAGTAGTAGTCTTAGTGGTAGTGTAATTAATTGATTTGGTTATTTGAAATCCTTTAAAGTTATGCAGTTTCTAGAGTAAACTGCACTTGAGTTCACAGAATAGACTGCACTTTGGCTGTAGAATATCTGACGGGCCGAACGAGTTCATGTCAGAGATTCTTTACTACTGCTTCTGTTCAATGTCTTCTATGGTCTCTGGCAGGCACCTGTTGCGGGTCTCTGAAAGGGTCCTTGCTACTATTCCCCCGAGTACAGCCACAAAGCAAAAGATGACCTGTGGCAGCTCCGTCCAGACCTCATCCAGTAAGAGGATCATAGGAGCCACAGCTACGCCAAACCGAGCTATGAACGAGTTGTAACCCATACCATTCTGCCTGAAAACATAAACATATTAGTCTTAATCAGAGGATCTTGCAGAAAAAGCGATGTCCTGAAGAGTTTATTCAAGAGCAAAAGATTGGAATTAGGCGTGTAGAGTTACCTTACTACAGTCGGGTACAGCTCAGAGCTGTATAGCACTAGAGTGGCAAAGGATGCTGAAGAAAACCCTTTTCCAATGATGGCTACCACAGTCGTGGCGACCGGCATTTCTACAAAGAGCATCAGAATCACGATTACCGCCAAATTTGAACACAAACGAAGATAGTGTGTTAGTGTAACGGTGCAAACGGTACAAAAAGGAAAAATAAGATTTAAGATACTGTGCAACAATATTGAGTGATCCCTCATTTCTTTTTGCTTTTCCATTTTCTTTCGATTTATCACTCCATGAGACGTGTTTTCGGTGCACGATGGCCTCTTGGTATCCACCCTTCCACTAAGACCGTTTTGGATGAGGCTTCGGTAGAATGATATAAGTCTTTCAGGTCCTGTAAAAGGTCTTGGATATCTTAAGGACATGACATTCTGTTCTTGTGCTTCTTTTGTCCTCCACTTGTTC